TGTAAAGTGGAACTGAACGTAAGAAAATGCAAACATATGCGATTCCCTAGAAAAGTTCAGTCAACACCAGGGTCCAGGTCACGTGCATAGAATCGACAACTGCGCATTAGAAAGCGTGCCAAGTTCTCGCTACCCGGGTGTCATTTTTTCCGAAAATTTAATATGAAACTTACATGTTGATTATCTAACTAAAAAGGATAACAGAATGTTAAGTTTCCTTGAAAGAAATTTCAAGTATTGTAGGAAAAAAACTAAAAACTACCCTTTACTTTACGTTTATTCGATCAATGCTTGATTATGCGTGTATTGTCTGGGACCCCACTACAAACAAGCTAATAGATAAAATAGAAGCAATTCAAAACCGGAGCGCTAGATTTGTTTTAAATAACTACCAATCCCGTCAAAGTGTTTCTAAAATGAAAGTCGAGCTAAACTGGTCATTGTTAGCTACCCGACGAAAAAGCCTCAGGTTAAAATTCGTCTACACTTTTTTTTTTCATGACCAGACCAGCATCCAAAAGGACAAATACTTAACGTGTCCGTACTACCTGTCCCAGAGATTAGACCATCCTTCAAATTAGAAACTGTGTCATCCGGCCAATCATAATTTTTTGTTCGTACAGATAGAGATTGGAATTTGTTGCCATTCCCGTCATTTCCTGTGACGTATTCGCCAAGTGTCTTTTATATTCGCCAGGGATGGGCAGTATTTCAAATACTTTGTGTATTTTGCATCGGTATTTAATTACAAATTGGGCAATGTATTTGATGTGTGTATTTAAATACTAGAACGTGGGTATTTCAAATACAATTGTAATTAAATACAATTTTGTGGGCGAAAATAGATCCCTCAAATCTAGTGTCACTGTCCAGAGCAGGATGAAACTACGTTCTGCACCGAATGCAGTGTCTCTCAATCAAGCACAAGGTTTTAGCGACTGTGATTACGGCGCTAGTCCAGGGCAAGAATAGTGACGAAATCGACGTTCACAGGCAGACTGGCTAAATAAGTGCCTGTGACAACTTGTGATGCTTTCCAGCCTGATTTCCATCCATATTTTTGCCTGGAACATTCTAAATGCGCGGTCGCCCAGATTTTCGTAACTGGTGCGAGTTGCAACAATAAAAAAATTCTCTAGCTAGTGCTGCGCGTCTTGGTCGTCTCGGTTCAATGTTGGTCTATACCAAAATGTAATCGACAAAAAAAGCTGCTTGAAGCTATGTACTTTTTTCACCTATTACGTCCAAGCTGATTACATTTTTTTGTGATTATATTTATTACGCTACTAGAGCCTCGCACACTAACTCCCGAGTGTGCGATGCAAAATTTAAATGAGATACCCAGAAACCCGTTGCAGGTGCCCTAAAGTCGCTGACATAAATTTTGAGGAATGTATTTGGAAAAGTATTTGGAGGAGACCAAGTACATTTGGTAGTATTTGTATCTTGTACTTCCCTTGGACAGCGGCTGCGACAGCTTTGGTGGTCGTCGTGACTCATGAGAAGAACGTCGCGACTACGATTGTCAAGACAGGACGACATCGAACTCCTATAGACCGACACGCTGTTTACAAACAAGTCCGCGTTTGCCCACACCAGGTGTGGGCACTGCGCAAGCGCAGAAGCCGTATTCGCGTAAAGTGAAGCGTCTGCGCACGCGCAGTGCCGTCGACAACGCCACCGCAGCTGCTGCGTGACGTCACGGCCGCGTGTTGGAGGTGCACGTCACAAACGGTTTGGAAGACCCAGCAGGGTGGCCAACGATCGCCGGTAACTTGACGCTTGCGACGCGCGAACATTTCGCATTCGCGTATTTGAACCAATCCAAAATGTCACTCTAAATAAAAAAAAAAGATAAAAAATAATATTTTTTTTATGTTACAGCACTTTGTGCGTGAAATAAAATTTTTTACTGTACCTCGGTGGCGCTGCAAGCGCGTGATGCCTAGAGTTCCTGTATAGCTCTCCCGTAGGGAGCCTATACAGGAACTCTAGTGATGCCTAGTGATGCCTGGGCTTTTGCGTCGTGGCGGAGAGTCTATTCTAAAACTCTCGAGCGTATACCGTGCGCTAACGCAAGCGCTGAAGTTAGCGCTGGCGCGCGCTAAAATTGCGTACATTATTCTGAAACTACGTAACGGCCAAATAGTAATACTTTAATCAACACGTAACCTTGAGAAATAGCGAAATTGTGCGTAATGCGGGGTAAAAAATATTTTACTCAGCAACAAAGCTTTCTGTTTTACAGCGGATATCTGACAAGGTTCAAGCTGTAATTGCGCTCATGAGGCAAGTAGCCAGGGGGGGGGGGGGGGGGGGGGGGGAAGAGGTAAGGGTATGAAGTTCGCCTTCCCCCCCCCCTCCAAAATCTTCCATTTTGCTGGGACCTCCTCTGCCCCCTCCTACTCATACAGCAATTTGTCATGGGCGGCCCCCCCCCCCCCCCCCAAACAAAATCATGGCTACATGCCTGGCGCTCATATAAACAAAATACTATATTTATAATTTATAATAAACCACTATTGTAACTTGCTACTAATAAAAGGTATATAATCAAATAAAAAATGGGACCATTGAGAAAACTGATTTAGAATTTTTTTAGATTTACGAAACGTTCTTACTTTCAGATGTACGTAACAAATTTTATTTCGTACATAGGATGATCAATAACCCCTCCTAGGCTGTACGCTTTTCATCCAGTGATGGAATTGAAATGTTACATTCCAATGAAGGTTTGGAATCTCCTCTTTGCCACTTTTCAATATAGACCCAACCGGCGGCGATCCGCATGCCGTCATAAGCGACTGAGGGCGGCTGTTGACCAGACCGACGCCGCGCTGGAGGGCATGCAGCTCCAAAAAGACGTTCTGCCTCGTTTACCTTCCAGCCCGGACGTTGCGCCTTCAGACTTCCGGCTGCTTTCCAAGATAAAGGAACATCTGAAGGGTACACGGTTTGCGTCCGACGACGAGGTTACCGATGCAGTACGCCGTTTGTGTCGTCAACAACTGCCCTTAATAATGTACGACGGCATAAGAAAGAAAAAAAAGAAAAAAAGTAGTGCACCCGTAGCGGAAGTGTACCGCCGTCGGTGGGGCTATATTGAAAAGTCACGTGGTCCTGGGAGAGAGGAGATTCCAAACTTTCACTCGAATCTAACATCTTTCAGTTTCATCACCGAATAAAAAAATGTAGTGAGGAAAACCCTATTGGTCCCCTTTGTATAATATTGAATTCGTATTTAGTGAACCAAGCTAGATTTGAGCTTTCTGCTGCCAATACCCTAAATGGATCACACGTAAAACTTGCCAAATTTTGCTGAAAATCATCACAAGACCCAAGTTCGATTTTTTTTTTTAAATTATTCTAAAATAGGATTTTTCTTTCTTTCCACTTCTTAAGCTTAATGAAATCTACTTCTAGATTGTCACGAGAGTCTTAGTGCTTTATTTTGAGAAATGAGAAAATCCGTCAACTTGTGCCGTTTGCTGTCTTTTATTTCTAGAATGCTTCCAGAATATGTTTTGTTCAAAATTAAAAATTCACCCAAAAACCGTGCCGGGACTGGGTTGAAATCTTCACAAACGTCCCTGTCCTCATATCCCCCCACCCCTGTATTAAGTGGTCCGCCAACTGCAGCTGACCTCTGACTCCTCGCAGCTGCAACGACATGTAGTCAGCAGGCCGCACCTTGACTAACCTTTCTCGGCGGAGGTCGTCGCCGGATCTCTCGCCGCGTGGTCTTCGGAGGGAGGAACACTTTGGGGTGTGGCGAACGGAAATACCGCTTCGTGCGAGCGGATTCCGGCCTCTTCGTCGGTTCGCGATTTATTGGGAGTAAAAACAGTCGAACCCCTGCCGTCACCGGGACGGGGGAATTCCGGTAGACCGTTGGAATAAAGAGTTTCAGGCCGCAGCCATTTTGAGCGTGTACAGGTAACGCGCGGTTCTGACGTTATACGCCGCTTAGGTGGTGCTGCTGTCGGCGCGACGCATGCACACACGCTTCAAGCGAATGTGGTTTGTGCGCACAGGTGGTGCGGGAAAACGCCGACTTGTTTGTAAACAGCGAGTAGGTTGAACTGTACTTTTTTTCGTACAGAGCAAATGAAAAATCTGACAAGCACGAAAGTGTCAGTTTATCAAAATACTCCCCTACACGTCAAAACGCCGTTTTTTTTTGTGTGTGTGTTTTTTTTTACAGCGAAGTTGTTTATGGCTGGGGTTCCGTGGATTTTTCGTGTGCGTCAACAAAAACTCAAGAGGGCTCGCACCGCGCTCTCTTTGTCGTCGTTCCAAGCGCTTGCGTGCCTAGTTTCCTTTCCTTCCGCCGGGTGGCGGTCCCGTCGCGCGTGTCTGGTTTCCTCGAGCTCCTCGGGGCGGCGATAGTTCTCGACATGCGTGTGCGTACCTTTGGTCACGATGACCACCGATGAAGACAATAAATGTGTTCGTACCTTTGCTCGAAATGCTAAATGTGCTAAATAGCTTCGCTGGTTATGCACCTTCACAAAGTAAAATAATTCGGGTTTTTCTTTTGCGTACAAAGAGCTTAGTTGCTCGACTGTGGTTGTGGGTAAATGTACGAAAGCTGCCTGTCAACTCCCGGCTTCTAGAATGGATATAGACCAGGATCCCCGAATTCTGCAACGCAGGTTTTCGCTAAACGTTCTTAGCTGCGGTGCATTTTTGGCCAGTGATATCCGCAGGATCCCAACCGCACTTAAAAAAAGAAAAAGGGGAATTGTTTTTTGAAGATTTTTATTCGTAAAAACTTTCTATACATGTTTTACCTTCACGTTCACCAGAACGTAATGCATAATTTCACAAAAGAGTCATGAAACAAATCGAAATCGGAACAAACGTAGGTAATTCACTATTTCACACGAATTTGGTGTGAACAGAGAAATAACATCTGATGGCCATTGAGAAAAGGAAACGAATTATGAAATGTGAGATGTATAATGGAAATTGACTAAAAAAATTAAAGGTTCTTTTTGTTGTCGTAATGATTTTAGCTGCCGTGAAAACGATTAATGCAATTTTGGTTTTGAACGCATTTTGTTGCATCACTTTAAACGGCAAATCAAATTTAAAAAATCATAAACAATTGTAAAAGAACACACACTGCAGAAGGAAGATACCATGTCCACTTGGTTAACAAAACTTTCGAAAACCAAAAAAAAAAAAAAAAAGAAAACATTGTCCTACGAAACAAGGTTACTGCGATATAGCACTTTCCGTCATCTATGTTTTCATTATCAGTTAATTATTGCACTCTCCACAGGCGGTGGCGGCACCACAATGTAATAGCGCGTTAAAAAAAAAACAAAAAAAAAAAAAACCAGCAGTATCTAAAAAAAAAAAACGGGATTTTGTTTCAGAAAATTAAAACCGCAAATGTCGATTAAATTTTCTTTAATTTATTGGCGTTAGAACCTCGTAAACGATCTCGAAAATTCATAAATTTATTATTTTACCTCCTTTATTAATAAAATCACGCGGGAAACAACTTCTGTTTTATATGAGAAAAAAAAAAAAAAAAGACATTTCGACGAAATCGGCAGCCGAAAAGAAACAATTTCTTTCCAAGCGTAAATAAAGCTACGTTTTTTTTTTCTCCCTTTATATTAGTATACAACTCAATCTGATCACCGAAAACATTTTTAGTCTGCGTATTTACTGCTACATTACAAAACGATGCATGGTGCCAAAAATCACGTCGTCCATACGTTCCAGCAATGCCGTCTAAAAAAATTACGCATTTAATCACTGTAAAAACCCACTCGAGATACAGGTAATGCACGACAATGTTCTCATGAATGAAGACATGCCAAAAATCGAAGGATGATTCACTATACTTCTTTTTTATATAAAAATCTTGACATGTCACCTCTATGTTCTGAATATTTGGCATTGACCTACATACCGAACAGTCTACAGAAGAAACAAACAAACAAAAAAATGGTTCGCCACCTTTTTTTCCTATGCCGCAACGGTTTTGGGGGGGCTGTGACAACTCGCTGTCGGGTGGCCATTTTGAAAGGGTAGGTTTTCCAGGCTCCACATATACTTGAAGCTCTATCCGTTGTCATACCTGCTTTTCATTCTGTGTAATGCATCCGAAACTCATAACAGCTGCTCGATCCGGGAGAGGGGGGGGGGGGGGGGGGGGGAGCGGTCACGTGATTTATGGGCCGCGTCTGCAAGGAGGTGCCAAAAAGCGTTGGTCGTCTGCGAACGTTGCCGCCTTCCCGCCTGCTTTCCTCCTTTCCACGCAAAAAACGAAGAGCATGCGCAGTCGCGACCGATCTCCGCAGGCGTCGTCCGCCATTAAACTGCAACCGCTCCCCCCATGGTTCGCGTAGATTGACCCACTCTTTCAATCTGGGCTCTCTACGCTACTCTTGAGGAAGGCGACGCCACTGAGTGGAGAAAACGTGAGCTGGGGAAGACGTAATCACGCATCCATCCATTCACACAAATGGATGGATGAATACGGCCGAAACCTAGCTTTCAATCGGGCGGCGTCTTGCGCCACCTGTCCCAGTGTTGCGGCGAAAACTTGCGCCGGTTGGCGGGTGAAACAGAGGAACTGGCCCCCAAAAACCGTGCGATCACGTGAGGGTTCGAGAAACCAGTGGCAAATGTGAGGAAGGTTTTTAAATTAAAAAAAAAAAAAGGTGAAAACAAGAACTGTACAAGTAAAAGAAACAGAATGTTCGAGATCATTTTGCGAGGTTTTCCTTGTTTCCTCTCACTGTACCCATCACCTAAACCAAAAAAAAAATAAAAATAGACGCCATTTTCTTACGCCGAGTAACACGAAAATGTTTTGACCCATTGAGGCGACAGACGAAGTAAATTTCAACAATTTGGTGGTTACTTCTTTACCCATGTCTTCACAGACTGAGAAGAAGAGATATATGTACAGTCACATTCACATTTAACAGGAGCACCGGGGAAGGACTTTTGATTTGGAAAATAAAAACGAAAGCACAATAACACTGGGGCAAATTCATGTGAACGAACAAAGGTGATGTGACAGAGATAAATACGTTTATATTTGTGCAGAATCATGCACGAGCACATAGAACAAAAAAAAAAGTACCAAAGCTATTCCAGGGTTAGGCTTAGCACTTGCTCCACTTAAACATGACTGCGACCGCACAACGTACCAATTCTTCGCAGAATTGTCAATTAGTGATGTCTGGAACCCCTGCCAGGCTAGAGTTTCGACCAGGTTTAACTTCTTCGAACTTTCAACTCCAAGTTCGGTAGAATTTCGATAGGAGCTCGACAGTTATGCGCATATGTGTACATTAAGAACAAGCTAGCGCCGCCTGGCGAAAGAGCGGTGCAGCATTTGGACGAATGAACTCTATCATAATTTTTTTATGTTTGTTGTAATATTGTGTAAGCACTGGTAATCATGCTTTTATATGTCCAACAAATTATCGCATATATAGTTTCCTTCGATTGAGAAGACAACTGTGCGGCAATCGGGCAACACTGCTTAAAAAAGTCAGGCTTCGTCGAATTTTTCTTTCAAAACTTCGAAGGGTCGCCGACACCAGTCGCACTCCAGGTTGTGACAAAGGTTCCCGACATCCATATATTTATAAGCAAACTGATTTTTCTTCCGAGCGAACCCAGATTCAGTTATACCGGGAGACCTCAGTGTATGTATGACCTTCGAAAGAGCACAAGATGCCTTCAATGTTTCGTACTGTTCCACCGAGAAACCTCAGCTTCCCAACCCGGCCAGTGAAACAAAATGGCGGACAGGTGCGGTTAGATTTTTTCCGTTGCCGGACAGACCGTGTAGGATTTCAAAAAAGGCACTGCCAAACTTTCCCAGTATACTAGCTCCGAGCAAACCCAAAGTGTAAAAGAAAAACGATTTAATGGATGAGCCCTGTGCTAAACCGCATGACATCGCAAAAAAAAAAAATTAACAAGTCTGAAAAGAAAAGTGCGACGGGCTATTCCTTACAAGGAAGTGGTGGCTCAGAGTCAAGACTGCTGCGTCATTAGGTGACTGTCTACTAGTCCTGTTTCACAATTTTGCCTTCCAGGTGATGTCACATGTCGTCCAGCACTGAGGTCAAGTGTCTGGCGGAACGGCTTCACAACGGACCTTCTTCCCAGGAAGAGTTCTGCGCATGCCCAGGCCCCCTGATGCAGCGGCGAAATCTCGAACTACCGTTGGCGTACAGAAGAAGAGCTGCGCTACCTCAACAGCCGCCTGCTCCGCGACTCTAAATGAGTCCCGGAGAAGGCAAAAAAAATGTAGCGTGCCTCCTCTTTCCAGATGCCAAACGCAGTTTGAGCTTCCACCGCATATTGCCGTCTTTATAAAAAGATAAACAAAAAGGTACATTCTGGGCTTTTACAGAGCGCGTAATATCATTTACTACAAACGTTATCACCTCAAAAAAAAAAAAAAACTAAATAAAAAGTTCGCCTTATCGCGTAGCATTACACAGTTCCACCTCTATGAGGAGAATTAAGACGCCCGCGGGTGATTTTAGTATCAGTTATTCGTAACGGTAGCAAAATGTACAGATTTCAAAGGCAAAGGGCATTCTTAAGACAACCAAGCATTGTAAGGGCAACGTCAAACACCGTAAAAACTGTATTTTTTGATGTGACAAGTTTTATAGCGATTCTGTAGACAACCAATAGACGGGTGTGATTCACAAATTTAAACGAAAAAAGTGGGTGGAAAGGGAAGGGGGGCATAAGGTGACGCCACTTAAAGACGATAAAACAGCACGACTCGTACTAACCTCAGAAATTGAGCGAAAAAAAAACAAAAAAACAACGAAACCAACCCATGTAATTGTTCTTCCTGAACAAAATGCTCAAGGATCGCCAACAATCCACAGACAGTATGTACGTTTCCCCAAAACGAGGTCACTTCTCGAAAATTGGCGCCAAAGCAAAGCAAAAAAAAAAAAAAAAAAAAACAATCGAGATCATCACTGATCAGCACTTCTCTTGTTACATTTTGTTTTTCCTTCACCAACCAACAAAAACCGGTGCCACCACAGTAGTACTTTTTTATACACAGTATATATTTATATATGTATATATCCACTATCATTCCGGTGGTTCAACCGCCCTTCCAGGTGTTATTTGAGATCTTAGAAAGTGTTTTGCTTATTACGTAGGAACTCGTGAATTCGCTTACATCTCCCCGAAACGAAAAAAAAAAAAAAAGAAACAAGCGATACCTACTTTACTTCAGGTACACAAAGGGAAAAAAACAAATCGCCAGCTAGAAGACGACAATACATAATATTAGCATAATAAATGTGTGCGGACTCCCTCCCACTGAACATACACCTACCGTTAGGGAGCCCTGAGATCATAAGAAGAATATAATTAATTTATAGTAATTAAATAACGGAAAACATCCTTTCTTTTCTCCCCCTCTTTCTCTCGCTGGGCGAGTGCTACGCGTTCAGTTGTCATCTTCCGCTTTCCCTGTGCCCTTTTATTTCTCCTGCTTCTCTCACCTTCAGGCTTTTTTTTCTCTCTCTCTTCCTCTTTTGTCTCGTTTCCCGGGTAACCGGCCCAGTCGCTAGTAGATGGCGCGCACTCTCGGAAAAGGGTCTATTGAAACAGATACCATTTGATATAAACATATCGGAGTATAATATTTTTCACATTTTTCAAAACGTTCTGTTCATCTCAATTCTACTCTCTCGCGTACTTTCTCTCTCGTCCGAAATCCATATAGAGTGGTGTCCCCACAGACAGACAGACTAGTAGATTCGCGGACGCCGCTTGGACCTGGAGGGGGGAGTGGTCTTCTCTTCGCCGCCATCTTGAAACACGAGAACCGGGTGACCGAAGAAGCGAGGCATCCATCCGCAAGCAAGACGACGACTCCGCAGCAATTCTCCCCGCTAAGCGTTGCTTCCTTGTTCTTTCTGCACACTGCAAAACAAAAACGAAAAAAAAAAAAAAAAAAACGCAGGTTAAAGGCGATGTAGGCAGCACCCACGGTCAAAAACCTCATCAAGCAACAATGGCAGTCGCCTCGTTTTGGGCATCACTTCGAAGCGTCCAACCGGACCCCGAATACACGCCGAACGCTGACACGGCATTCGTTTCTAATAACATGGTCAGAGTTTCGAACATTGGCGGCGCACACAGGTTTTGCAAAGTGTGGCCTCCGCAGGGCGCCGCCATCTTGCTACCGGTGTGGATAGTTCGTCTGCTTGCCAAGCAATGCAGAAGCGTACCCACGGCCTCAGCAATGCTTGACTAGCAGACGATCTACCCACACCAAAAGCAAGATGGCGGAACTGAGGGGGAGGAGAAGACGAGAGCGCGAGTGGACATCAGAACGCCGTGCTCTGATTGGAAGGATTAGTGGGTAGACCTGAGGCTAGCTGCCTTTGTCTCCACTGCACTCGTCCAGTGCAATGGAGATAAAGGCTGCAGCTGCACAGCGTGTACAGAGCGCGACACTGTTAGCGCGAACAAGCGATCGCCGGTTTTTTCAGTTTTTCTCTTTGAAACCAAGGGATATCATCCAGGTTATTATTGCTACGGAAAGAACTAATTTTCTTCTATAATGTAAGCGATAAAATTTCGTGCTCGCTAATACTATTTAGAAGTAAAACGCGAAAATGCGCCGATGTCGTGTTCGCGCTAACGGTGTCGCGATGTGTACACGATCCAGCGGACGCAATAGAGGTCATTTGTTTTCCGTCAAAGAAGTACGTAGAGACAAACAAACGAAACCACTGAAAACACATACGCAACCGCGTACAGGCAGACACAGACACGAGCGCTTGCAAAACAACACAGTAAAAACGCCGACCAAATGTTAACCGAAATGAAAAAAACAACAACAACAAAAGACGCCGAAGAATTTTGCTGAAGTTCGGCGAGCATTCTAAGAATGTCGGTCGGAACTAGCGATCGAGTGCGTCAAACAAACTCTCTCGGCACCGGAAACGGAAATGCCACGTATCTAAAGAAATAAAAAAAAAAAAAAAACTTACAAAGCGAATATTTTCGACATCCAGATGAGTCGGAAGGCTGTCATACATACACAACGCAAAATCGCAAAGCACAGAAAAAAAAAAAAAATAAAATAAAAGCATTCATTTTTTTAAGAGTTACGCGCACGTATCTCTACGAAGAAAAAAAAAAATAACGAGAGGAAGGTTTTTAAGATCACGCACCCACGATTCCTTACAGAGAGAGACATACATGTGACAGTCATGTGACCCCACCAAGACCAGTCCAAGGATATGCGTCACAAACAAAAGCAAAAAGGAATTAAAAAAAAAAAAAAAGAGGAAAAAGATGACTTCTCTCAAAGCCGCTTACTCAAAGAAGGACGCAGCTGACGACTGGATATAGAGCCGTCAGTGCACCCAAATGTGCATATGTGCGCGCGCGTGCGTGCGCACGTGTGCAACGTGCACATGCAGGGTATGCGCTCTGCTGTCCCGGTTCCCGTCGCTTCATCCGCGAGTTGTGCCTATTTTTAGCGGGGGTGGCACCGGTGATGTTGGTCGTAAAAGTAGATACACCGCGTCAGTTCATCGTTGCACCACATGTGGCGCCACCGTCGCCCATATACCACGCCAACCAAAAAAAATAAAAAGATTTTTGACACACATGCACAAATAGAGAGCGACAAGCGGCCTCATGTCAACTGGGGAGATAACTTCGGCATCCTAAAAAAAAACTGAACCACGAAAGAACCCCACTACATGTGGCGAGAGACGCCCTTCGTCAGCCCAAACTTTCCTCCAGGTTCAGGGCAGCGAACAGGAGGCGTCGTCACGGATAGGCGGAGGGATATGCATTCGGCTGATAACTTTTAATTGCCTCGAACCACCAAGCTGATGTTCTTAATATCAATTTCAACTTAAAACCTCGAAACAGGGAGGCTAAGAACTTTAATAGAGCGACTCGCGGCGTGACGTTATAGACCGACGCGCTGTTTACAAACAAGCCCGCTTTTGCCCACACCGGGTGTGGGCACTGCGCGTGCGCAGAAACGGAATTCGCAAAACGCGAAGCGTCTGCGCATGCGCAGTGCCGTCGACAGCGCCACCGCAGCTGCGTGACGTCAGGGCCGCGTGTTGGTCTATACGGGGCTAACCTAGAGAGCCCAAACTCAACCATGTAAGGCCTCCTCTACCTGGAGAGGGGGTCGTCTGTCTACCCTTTAGTAATCCCAATATTTATCTCTATTCAGATCTAAGCCAGTTATCTGAAGGGGATGGATGGACAGATCTGTATACGGCACTGGATCCTTTAAATGGCACCGCGGCTCGCGTCACCTCTATTTAACACAAGGCCAAAACAACTAGTCTCAGAATTCTTTTTATAATTGTATTAATGTTAACAATTATGATCTACGGTCGGCTGCCAGATAGCGCGGCTGGTGGCCAAAACGAGGGTACAACTTTGGCCAGGACCTGCCACGAGATGATTGGACGAATATCGCCATTATTCAGTACAGAATGAGAACCGCACACGGTATTTCTTTCCGTGCAAGCGATTGTGACGTCACGAGACCCTGTGACGTCACACTCGTTACGTGACACCTTAGAGTTACGTAGTATAATTCCCCATTACATTTATCGGGAATAGTTTGGCCGCTAAATTTAAAAGGTAACATAATTTGGACGTCACGCGACAACCTAATTAATGTTCACACGTTTTCCAAATATTTCCGAATCTACGTAATTGGAGAGTGATTGTGTCTAGAGCCACTAAAAGGAGCTACGCTTAGAGTATCGGCACTCAGTTCCCCGCTATCATTGTGGACGCCGCCATCTTGGTGTTTGTGCTGAGCAGACGCCATTGCCTGCCGATCGTCATGATTCCGAAGTGCGACTTCCTCGGCATTGATTGGGTGTTAGGAAGCTCGTGTATAATATTGCTTTGCTCTGTCGCGAACTGTTAGAACGTTTGTCGAGGACGGAAAAGCATGTGTGTCTTTTCCGCGTGCAGAAGACCGCGCTGCGTGCCTCGGCTGTCATTCATTTGCCCAACACAATAACCGACTTTCTCTTCCCTTCTTTTTATTTTTTTTTTTTTTTTCATTACGAGTTTTTAATGAAAGGCGCGCGAAAAATATTGCCGGAACAACTGTAGACGGTTCATTAAATGAAAAAAAAAAAATATATATATATATATAAAGGAGACCCAGACAGCGCAATAAGTTCTCCGTCGCAAAGAACGACGAACATGCGGTCGATGGCCCAGCCTAGACCGGCGCCGGAGGAAACCGGAAACGACGCACCGGAAGTAAGGAAAGAACTACCCGACTTCCGCCCGTGCATACGCACCCGCTCGCTCGCGCCCGCAACACAAACCCGCATCTAAAAAGCAGAGAGGGGGCGCGTTGTTTCTCAACCCCTCCGCGCTGTTTGGCAGACGCACGCACGCACGCACACCATCGCCACCAGCAGCGTTCCGTTGTATCTTCGGCACAGACCTGACTGCCACCCCTCTTTCTTTTTACAATATTTCGATCACTTTTTTTTTTATTTATTTATTTTTGCGCGTACGCGCCTATCTGTGTTTGCTGTTGGAAAGTAGTCTTGGCTCGGTGTATGTAAGGTGTGCGCGCGCGCCCGCATATGCCGCGGCGGGTTTGGCGGTCAGGAAGTCGGCTAGTGCCTAATGGCGCATTCACACTGGAAGCGGATCCGCGTTCGCGAAGCGGTCGCGGAAGCGGTTCGCTAGCGACCCCGTTCAGACACACCGAGAGGCGGCTGGCGGTTTCTCGGCGATCACGCGTGATCTTTTGAGACTTGCGTTTGGCAACCCTGTTTTACAATCCAAAATCCACTTTAATTCAAGATCCAAAGCCAAAGTCTTGCTATTTTGGCACTCGGAATATTTTCTCCGGGATGTTCGCGCGCATCTCGAGTTCAGGCAGCGAAAAAAGAAGCATGGACCCGCCAAACTCTCCTGTGATTCCCTCGACTTCGCCCACAAGCAAAGCCCAGCTAGGCGCGCCTTGCTGACTCAGAACAGGATGCCCCCGACCTTTTCTTCGAAGTGGACCTTTCCCGCATGAATAGCTGACCTTGTTTTCGGGATAGAGGGCCAGTACCCCCCCCCCCCCCCCCCCCCCCCCCCTCGTCGTTGTTCGCTCTTATCATTTTCGAAGTTGTGAGTGGTGGGGTGGACCGTGGTGCGGGGGAATGTGTTCGGTGCTAGCCGGTCGTGGCTTCGGTGGTTCTCTCCTTTCGTCACTCGCTCGTCGATCGAGTCTACTGTTTGTTTGACATTAAGCTCAAATAAACGCCTTATGGATTACCTCTGCATTGTCTCGTACGTACACTTTAGTCCTTGAGCAGGTTCCCTTTATTTGTTTTATTAGTAGTAGATGTTACAGGTCGAGCTAGCGCAGGTACCCTGCCCTCCACCGCGGTAGTGCCTTGGCTACGCAATCAAGCTCACAACGTCTCTATCGGCCTTCGTGGTGGTCATGCACGGTGTCGAAAGCTTTCAATAGTTCACGCGACTATCCTAGAGGGTAGAAAAGCTGACATTTCGGTCGATCAGGGGCGGGCTCCGACGTTCTATCGAAAAGGCAGCGAGCGTGGGCTGTGCACCAGGAATAATAAAAAAAAACTCTTACCCGAACCAAGTCACCAGTGCGAAGCCCGTTAAAATTACGAGTCAGTTCTTTTCGCGGTGGATTCAAGTGACGGACGTGAACATCAAGTTTCTCCGATGATTTGTCAAAAGCTAAGACTACAGCGCTAGGACTAGAGTGCCTTGGACGCCTCACCAGCGACAGGTGCCATCTTGTTTCGAAAGTCACTGACGTCACGTCAGCAACGTCAGTGTCGCGTTGTGATTGGTTGCCGCTTTGCGGTTCGTCAAAGCGGTTGGGAGAAATCGGTCCCGAAGCGGTTGGCAAAAACGCGCTCCAACCGCTCGATCCT